CTGGTGAAAACGACAAACGAATCTCTTCATCATGTACTTTCATTCGAAATGAAGTTCCCCCTAAAAATGTAAACAAGTCAGAAGTTGTGATAGGGCGAGTGTTGGATTGACTTCACTTGTCTCTTTGACGAGTGCGTAGCTTGATACGGGGAATGGCGGCACTTGCTGATAATGCCGACTACGATGCCGGCGAAGCGTTTGAGAATGTACCAAGTCCACTGTCTGATGCTGGGAATCATGACAATTACTATGGCAGACGACTTCGGACTTGGGGCGTTCTACTAAGTCGCTCTAACAACAAGACCAAGTTGCGTCAACGAGTTCAATCCACTTCTGAGACTGCTTAGCCTATCCATAAGTACAACTTCTTTTACCATTTATGGTAACTTTTATAAGCAGAAGTAACGAATTGCCTCTTAATCATCACATTCCCTTAAGTTTTGAATGCTCCTCGTGGTAAAATTTTAGCTGGCCATCCTGATTCCTAAGGTTTAATTAGTTTTTCTTGTTCATTTCGCAGGTGATCACCTCACGAATACTGCATTTCTGAAATTATCCAATGAGTTGGACAAGTATAGTCCCAGCCAATTTTCGTATGAGGATACGACATGATATTGAATTTTATGGAATACTCCGTCAAACACGAGCTAACAACTTAAATATCAAGAACGAGATATGCATCACTGCTTGGTAAATTATCATTTTTGAGAATGCTTGTAATGAAGAAAAGTGTTGATGAGTTCCACTTAGTTTGCTGAAAATGCTCTCAATGGGATTTACCTGTCCTCCCTGAAAATCAGTGAAAATGTAAAGAAAAGTTGTATTTCATACTACTTTCTAGGCATCGCTATAACTTAAGCACATTCTTATAGCGACTTCAAGCTTACACCAAATCAAGAAAACGTTGGACTTAAAGAGATTCATAAGAAGATATCCCAGCCATGAGGGCGTTTTCGACGAAAGTTCTGCACCATATCAACTGAATCGAAGAAGCACTGCGGTAGCATGCACGGCTCAATATACCCAGCATCTTCGAAGTATGCATGATGGGGATTCGATCGTAGAGGGATCACATTTATTTCTGGCAAATAATGTGGGGAAAACGAAAATCAAGTAAAAGAAGGCAATATCATCAGCAGATTCTAAACAAAAGTGAACTTGAAGGTATGAAGACCAAGATGTTATGGCCTTTTGTATGGTCGCAGTGTCTTTTCGTTTTATAAAAATTGTTTGACCTTGTTTTCGCAACTTAGTCATATCGGTAGGAAGACAGAGAGGCGGAATCATTGCTTCCCTTTGTTCCTAGTAGCCAGGGCTTCGAGTAAATTATTTCTTGTAATTATTGCTTTTTCTTGACTTCCCATCGAGACTCTATGGGAATTGATATGGATAAATACTGCCCCGCGGAAGCGGAGCATGATGTATAGAATGTAGCCGGCCCAATGAAGTGTGAAGTATGAGAGTGCCAACAACCTTCTGGTTAACCCATCAGTTGGCATAACTATTATTTCATCCCATATTCGCATACCAGTTGGAACTTGAATTAGTCTCCCTAAATCCATTATCGCACCACCGCCATAAAGGTTATGTAATCTGGAAATGTATGAGTAAAATGCTCTAACTTCGGCAGAGCTGCTTCAGATGGCTCATCTTCTAATGCACCTATGCGAAAAGACCTAGACAGACGAGACTTTTGAGGGATGAGCAACCAAATCTTAAATGAAATCTTAGACGAAAGCAAGTCTTTCATCACTTTAAACGCTCATTGTCTAAACCGTCTGTAGGCTGGCGGAAAGGATCATAAATCTCGATGAAGTTCAACTTATTGTGAATATGAATATTATTATCTGGTGAGCTCTGCGAGAACTGAACATTATTTCTAAGGAAGCACAACTACCAGTCCAGTTTACAGAGATAATTTGAAGAACTTCTTTTCGATCTACCATAACAATTGAACCATCAATTTTTTGCTCCAACGGACCGATTGCCCTCCTCTACGTTTCTCCGGCTTGGTAGTCACCAGTATTTTCGAGTAGAACTTCAGTCCCTGTAAGTTGCCTAAGATAATGATATAGTTGAAGTTACCACAGTGAGATGAGTAAATCTACTGATTCTATCGACGATAGCATAGCCTTGCCTCCCGAAACCCTTCCTTATCCGAAGTAAACTGACGTTTTGACCTGGCATTGGTCTGATCATG